TTTTTATAATACCTAGAATTACTTTAAAGATTACACTGGTGTTTGTTAAAATAAACTTTTTTTATTATTTCAAACCAGACAAAGCGTTTCTTATACATTTTTGAATGCTGAAAACAATGTTGCAAAACAAATTACCATCATGTCAGGTTTGCAACATGAAAATGTAGACATTTTTAATTACAATAAATATTCAAAAATTGAAAATAAATAATATTAAATAATAATAAATATTACTTTTGAATTTTTTATTAATGAACATTTTATGCTGTATCTCAGTAAGAGTAGATATACGTCCGTAAATAAATATTTTTTATATTTTAATGTGGGGAGCTCACCCGAAATTTGTTACTTTATTTTAATTACACTCTGCATACATCCATTTGGAATATATCACGTTAAAAAATTATATTATATATTGATAGCCATAAATTATAAACTAAATATATATGATTTCATCGTCAGAGACGAAAAATTTGCTGTCTTAACAAAAAATTCTATATTTAAATTCTTTATAACATGACTAAGAAGTAAGGCATAATAAAATTTAAAAAATGCATTTTAAAGAAGATAAACAACACATTTATGACTTCTAATCATAATTTCAAAATAATATTTTAAAAAAATTTTAAATATTAAAAAAAAATAATTTTTAACGTATTAAACTGTATTTATTTCAGACCTACTCTGGTCTAAAATTTGGCTTACGTCATCATTTTCTGCATCCAAAAATCTATACAAAGAATATCCTGCCTGATTGAAAATGATTTTTGGTTGTAAACTAATGTTATTCATAATGTGATAATTGTATAATCAACATCGATCGATGACTGGATGAGGGTCAGACAACCCGCGTTTACTCGCTAAATATACGACACGAGGGTGGGCGACAGAGGGTGGAAGGGGGGAAGGGTGGAGAGTCCATGTTCCGTTTTATCGATTCGAAACCGATCGGTTACACACGACACTTCTCGTCCACTACTTTGCCTCGTCCATTCACGCAGTCGTTCGACTGCATATATACGGTCGCATACCGGCGCTCGCTCGCCCTCTCTCCACGCTCTTCATTCCGCCAATTTCTGTCTTTCTCCCTTTCTCGCGGTCTTTCGCAGCCGGCAGCTTCCATTCAAGCGCGCATTCCTCGGACGACGCGGACGGAGGAGCCTGTGGTAGGCGCATCCGCGTGCAAACCTTTCCTTTTCGACGCGGCCTTAGGAACAGCCGGCGTGAAGACGTGCCTCTGTATTGCGACAACCATCCCAGCATCGTACTTATAAGGCCGCGGCTTAGCAACGCGCGTCTCTCTACCAGATGATATTTCGACTCGTGCCGAGTCTCTCTCGCGCGCGATGCATCGCCGCGCATCTCCTCACGTTCGTGCGGATCCTTCACCCTTCGCATCCTCCACCGGCCGCTATCTGGGTCTAATGCAAACGGCAGCCCCGTTTGTCTTTATAACTCGTTTTCTATCTATGTCATACATAATATTGTAATACACTATCCTACAAATCAGTGATGCTTAATAAATGTTTGCCGTTATACATATGAATATCGTGATATTTGCCAGATTGCATTTTACTGGCTCGTTTAAGTGATTGCTTAAATATCATTTTATAATTGATACTGATTTAATGGATCCATAGACGAAATTTAGATCTTGTAATAATAATTGACAGTGTTATATAAATTTATAATAATTTTTCAATTTTTCACGTTTGGTAGATCTATTTTAAAAAAATGGAAAAGTACTTTATTATATTTTTTATCAACTACTAAAATTTAACAGGAAACACAGAATTTTATGCAATAATTTATTTTCTTTTTTTTTATATTTGCAATTATAGAATGACGCATTTTGTTGAATATTTAGAATAATAAAGAAAGAAATGCAAACGTATTGTTATGACGTCGATCTAATTATTTTCATTGACAAGCTATAATACAGTTTTTCTCAATTAATTATTCTTTGGATAGTCGACAAATTTTCAAATCACAGTGATATCAAAGTGATCATATATTCTTAAATCTCTATTTTGAACACGTCGAGATTATTGACAATATTTATTAGTTTGATGTACATACACATTCGCGGAATGAAATAGGCCAAGCTATTAATGTTACGTATCGTTGTTATTGATTTATAGTTTTTTATTGCGATTCATATATCTTTTTCATGCCGTCCCGATGTTCCGATTTAAATCTAACCTTTTAAAATATCGCCAGTGGCGCGCGCGGGTGAACTTATAAACGGGTAAAACGCACGTTTATGTTAACCACGCCATATATAAATACACTCATATACTGGTTACTACATCGTCATGAATGATTAATGAATTTTCCTACAACACGCGGTATACCTTAACCCAAGATGAACCGATACTCGAAGATCTTGGCCGTTTTACTTTTTTCTTCTCTCGCGTGCAAACTAATGGCCGTTCAAAGCCGCGCGGCTTAAAAATGCTGTTCCCGATGATTCATCGCTCGATTAACATAACTGCGCCGGCGACCGATGCGGCTGGCAATAATTGCACCGAGGGGGGTTGTTAATGGTAATGTGTGCGCTGATTATTCCGTTACATCAAAATTGCAGCTACGATTTACTCGATGTTTTTTTTAACGTCGCCCTCGCCGTTCGGATTTCTCGACGGCAGATGGGACGTTCATCTTCTATATACCGCTCCTCGGAATATGCATGATTTCTTCACCGGTGCACGGGCATGCCCGGGGACAGTCGCGGGATTTGTGTCGAGCACGCCGAGCTCGGCACGTCGCCGAGGAGGAACAAACGCCGTCTCGCGGTTGCCGTGCCGTGTGCCGATCGGGAATTTTAAATGTCGCGCAAGAAGAGAATGCGCGGGTGGGAACCACAGCTGGCGCGTTCCCGCCGTTAATCGAGCGCCTTAAAAGTCGGTCGCGCGCCGCGCCGTCCCGCCTCTCTCACACGAATTGTCAAAGTAATTTTTGCAGCGTCTGTTCTCTCCGAAGAGAGGAGATCGTTCCGCTCTCGCGCGAGGATGAAAGTAAAATTGAATTCGGCGCGACGCGTTACGTCTTCTCGCCTGCGGCCAGGCGCTCTCTTAGAGCGTGATGGGTGCTTATATGTCAAGGTCGTTCTCCACACACACGCGTGCCTCGTACCCCCGCCGCGCCGCCGCACGCCGTCGTACATTTCGCTCGGAATAAATTCGCACGCTCATTACCGAGAGATTGCTTCTTTTTTGCGGAATACTCGCGGAGTCTGGTCGTCTGATGTAATTCGTTATCGATTGAACCCGAATTCAGACTTTGCCTTCTATTAAAATTAAGATCGGCAACTTTGAAATATATCTAACGTCGTATGTGATCAACTGTGACACTGTCGTCATCCTATTGCGTCTGGAATTTCTTTTTTAAACAAAAATTCGTAGATTCTTTTTACCGATTTTCATGACTGGATAATTCATGATCCGTGATTCCCGGTATAAGAGTCGTACGATCCGCGATCTATGATCTATGACATTATGTTGCAAGAGGCGCGCGTCGAGAATCGTCTCGCCTAATCGCGCCGAGGCGAAACTCCAGCTGAAAAACTCCGACGCTCGTACTTCTTTATGAGATGCATTAAGACGCACATCGTCAGGTTTATACTGCTTTCAGCGAGACGCATAAAAGACTGCGAAACGGAAAATTTATCAACGGCATAAAACCACGCCAAAATGCCAACGTGATCGGTTGAAGGGTTAATCATAAGTTTCCTCAATTATAGCTGTAAATTAAAAGAAGCTATTTCAGAAAAAAATTTTTTTACCTACTTTCTAAATTTTCTGGAGTGACTCTCACTCCAAAAGAGTGAAAATACTGCCACTCAAGTGGTCGAGTGGCAGTATTTTCAATCTTTTGGAGTGAGATTCACTCCAGAAAATTTAGAGAGTACATTAGAAAAAGAATTTAGTGTTGCATAAATTGAAAATCTGGTAAATTCTGGTATTTATCAATATGTGTTTGTTGGAAAATAAATAAAGATTCTTCTACAAATTACTGTACTTCCTATTAAATATATATTCCAATTAAATATGTAGAATTTCTTAATAATAATACTAAATTTATTTAGTTACATCAGCAAAATTTTTTAATGAAAGAAACGTCTAGTGAATAAAAAATTTATAAATCCAACTTAATATACTAACTAAATCCTTATAATCAGATTTGTTAAACGAGTCTAGGTATAAAATATCGAATCTAATTATGATAATTAGAAATTCTGTTCGATCTTATCCAAAATGTATTCTATCGTGTACGTTTCATTTGTATAATCAAAACACGTTTTTCTTGCGTGTAATATGTAAATCACAGAAACTACGTCGGCCGTGTGAAATCGAAAATATTGGAGAGATAATTGTCTAAATATTTTCAAGACTCGATAATTAGCCGCGTGAAGCAACATGGTATCGGCACTTTATTCATTCCGCTTATTATTATTTATCGTTTCTTAAGCGCGCGGTCGTGACTCGACGATCGCGCCGGCTGATACGGCTGAATCAATCGGATTGTCGAAAAATCTATAACTGGTATCTAAGGAGTTCGCGGCTCGACATCGTGACGAGGAAGACTTTCTCCTCGGCGAGGCGCGATGCAATGAAATGACGTGCATACCTGGGAGGAACCGATAGAGTACTCGGACGCGACCCGGTGGTCTAGTTACAGTTGCATAACCGCGCCGCCTGACTCAACGATGTCTTTAACGAATATCGAAGTCACAAGTCTCGTTTGTTACGTTAAACAGACGGTAAAGAAGTACACATTTAATTAAACGAAGTAAACTAATTTTTCGGAGATTACAAATAACTAATGTCTTACGTGACCGCTGAGAAGAATAATAAATGAATAAATATTATAGGAAACTGAATCTTTTATCGTTCGTAATACACAAAAAGTATTCCACTGCAAAGAAGGTTTACACATCGTTTGCAATGCTCCTATAGAATCTCAAAATTTACTCTAAGAGTCTGCTAATTTGTTTGTAGAAAATAAACTCGAAAGTACAGCTGGGACCGTTGAAATTGCTCCGTCCGTGCAACGATTCGATCTCCAGGTCGCACCAGTTGCAACGAAAGAAGAGGAGCCCATGGTACACGGAGGAAGATCGGGATCAGATCAGATCCTTCGAGCGTGCAACCAGCTATTATATCCGCCGCCCGCGGAGGCGGGCCTCAGATCCATGTAGAGATATTTCGCGCGAGGCGGTTTCGCGCATTTAATTGACGGTGCTCGACGCTCGTCTACTAGGGGACGGACCTTACAAAAGTACAATATATACGATGTAGTTGAATATTGGAGCGACGATTAGAGAAAGAACGATTGTTATTCAGTCAATTCTATTGTCATCGTGTTTTGTATGAAGGGAATAGATTAGATCCAGCGTCGAAATTCAAAATTTGTAAATAATGTTTGTAAGATTTAATTCATCCGAATTTCATTATTCTGACTACTTCATCCACAGCGAAATACCTTACTCGCTTCCGCGAAGCGATTACCTCGTCTCGGAGACCACCCATGGCGGTTAATCACGATGGAATTTTTCAAGCACCTGCATGGTGTCCGAGGCATCGGTCGCGCCGGCGTATCTAGAACTGTCAATCGCAGTAATTCGGGACCGCGTGATCTATACACATGACGGCAGAGCGATCTGAGAGATCTACGATCGAGCCGGCGATTAGATATTTCGAGGTGCATCCAATCGTTGCATCCGCTGATTGCGAGACTCGTATGCAGATTCCGATGCGGACGCTACGTACGAGGTATACGGGCTCGTGGAGATGTGGGGGGACTTGGATTGGCCGGTATACACAAGGCAAGGGATATGAGGCAAGAATTAATAGGAATTCAACGAGATTCAAAACGACGAATGATTATTATAATGATGCTCTAGCAGACTAATAAATATTAATTACGCACCGTAATTTTCAGTTCTATTTTTATATAAAATATAATGTTTAAGCTATGACCTGGTAGGCGTCTTCTCGATCACTGTTTAAAAATTTAATAATTTATGAGCCAGTATAATTCGACGTGGATAAATGAAAATTCGTCGTGAAGAAATCGGACATAAAGGAAACTGATTGGAGGAAAATATCATCTTTTCCTTCGTTCAGCGTAAATCTCCTAAAACACACTCCCGGAGTAGAGTGATTTACGGGAGAAGAGATGCCACTCTGAGATTGAAGAGGCTTGTCTTGCCGCGAAAAATATTTTCAATTTAACGTACGAGAGACAGAGAGAGAGAAAGAGAGAGGGAGAGACGCGAAAAACGTTTCCTCGACGCGCAATTTCGTACCATTATCCACGCGATATTCCTTGGAAGCGCAGCATCAGCGACGAACCAGTGATTTAATCATTCCGACCACAGGTATACCACGTTGCCCGTATGTGAGTGAATATGGAAAATACCTCAGGAATAAATTAATTTCAAGGATCGCCTCCTCCTGAGCAGCTCGTAATCGAGCGACGGACGCTTCGTTCGGTTAGCACGTCGTCGTATTTTACATCTCTATTAATGCGTAATATGCGTAGAAGGATTCGCGTGAAGGATCGACGGCTCGGAGTACGCAGTTTCGTCCGACACAAAGTATTAGCGTTAATCCACATAGGCGGTGTCTCTCTTCTTTTTCGGCACCGGACGCGCTGCGGTCGGCATCGTCCACGAGTATATATATAGGTATAAGCGAACGTATCCTGAACGTAACGGACGTCGGACACGCCGGCTAATGCGATGCCGTAATTCTCGTTTTTATACCCGCTGCACGTCCCGCCGTAAGACGCGAGCATTTATCTTATTTAAATCGCACGCTTTTGTGCATCCGCGAGGATACGTGGCTGCGCGAGGATCTCGTGTCGCTCGTTTTGGATTAGCGTGCGCGCGCGCGTACCGTTCCCGCCCGGGAGAGATTGCTCGCCCAGGCGCTATTTTTCTCAGCCGGAATTGCGAAAATCCACCTTCGGGGATATTCCTAAACGAAGAATTGAAATTCGCGTGGCGATTGCACGAGAATACGGCTCGTAAATTTTGATAAAATTTTAGCGCGTTTCTCTTCGCAGAATTCAATCGATTTCTTTGGAAAGGCATGAGAAATAAATATTAGAAAAGTAAAAGGAATATACGATTGTATATGGAAACACATCGAAAAGTCACACGATGCAAAGTTTCGCGAATTCGAAGTCTATATATATAATATTCGATGGCGTCGCCAATTGTACCAATGTCTCTCGCCATTTCGCCACGTTCGACGATCATTATTGCGCCATCCACTCGCGCGGCTTATCATTAAATATCGCTTCGTGTTTATTCATGTAATTACGAACTAGCTAGCCGAGATCATCGACGTATTCAAATCACACGCGATCTGATACGTTTTAATGAGCGGAATAGCCGTGACATGTTAAATGCTCCACAGATAAATTTCAGTCGGAAGGAAAAGAAAGCGTGACCGAGTCAAACACGTTTAAGTACGTTTATTTGGTCGATAGAAGCAGCGTTTAATATAAACGTTGCGGTTGCGGTGGCTTTGTGTGCACACAGTACGTGCGTTACGTGGTTCCTTAATTAATGCACCAGGTGCTAATTAACTGCACTAATTCGGCTCTGGGACAACACTCTCGCCAAAGGAAATTTGCTAAATCACATTTGAATGCGCTAGAATTGCAAATGGAGCTAGAAATATGAACTCAAAAGTCGGTTGACAGGCATAATTTCGATGTGTTTAATTTCCAACATTATATATTATAAATTTGGAGGCTTCAACTTATTGTATAATTATGTCGGATTAATATTTAATTTAATATCTACTATGTAAGTACGACGGATGGAGCTATGTCTTACAATTAGTATGGCTAACAATAAGTATGAGATAGAGATAAGAGGAAAACATCATCTCGAATCGGTACAATTCGTTTTCTCTCTTGTTTTAAACTTTTTATCTAAATAAGTATTTTATACTAGTATTACTTCACATTTTTGTATTCTCATATCAACGACAGAAAATATAATTTCGCACATGCACTAACAATCGTAAGATCGTGGGATCAGTCAGCGGTAAGATTTCAGTCTGAATGAATCTGTACGTTACTGTAACATTTCTACAGGTTGTCCTCCTCGGGATGCTGGGCGATGTACTCCAAGGCTCTCAGGATGGCTTCGGGGACCGGTGGCGCGGTCGGCAGATGTTCGCCCTGAGGATGAAAACCGTTTTCGTCGGCGGTGTAGCTCAGGCTGATGGGATTGCCGTTGATGTCGGGATAGCTGAAGGCACCCTGAACGCGATTGGCGTCCTCGTCTTTGGTAAGCTGGACGAGCTGGCCCTGCTCCTGCGCCTGGATGCCATTTCCGGTCTGGTAGCTGTAGCTGTATGAACCGTCCGGATTTGGTCCATCCGAGCGCGAATCTATGATGGGGATGAAATCATCTTTCCCATAATTTAAGGGGGGTGCAGCGAATGCAGCCACTGCGAGCACGCAGAAAAGTACAGCGGTCTGGAAGAAATTAATTAATTTATTTATTATTTATATAACACAGAACGAAGAAATAGAAACTTGGAATATATAGAATTTGGAATAAAATGGATTACGCAACATTTCTTAACTAAAATATGACTGATTTCGAATCTTACTGTGCGCTCGCGTTATTACCGACATTTATAATTCTTGACAGTTAATTTAGAACACAGATTTGTTTACTTGTGTGAACAACATTTGGTATCTTTTCAATTAAAAATTGTACGATAAGGAGATAAGATAAGAAAATTAACAATAGCCGTAAGTTAGTACTAATTCTTTATTTACTTTGCTAAGACTTACCAGAGTCTTCATGATGCTGATCACGACTGTGTATCCCGTTGTAAAATCGAAATTGAGGAGACGCCTTTTATATAGTATTCAGCCAAAACCTGCTAGATGCGAAGAGATCTCCCTCTTATTGATATATTTCTGGTCAACACGTTGACACATACGTTGCGACATTTTCGATGAAACTGATAGTGGGGCGGGGCAAGACGACCACAAAAATGGCAATATAATCCCAAATGATATTCACGACACTCGTGTTTGTCGAACATCCGTCGAATTTTACGCGAAAGTGAAATATAAAGCATTTGGAAACATCAGTGATTACATTCGAAAATTCTTTCTCCTCCAATTTTTGAACTGTTCCTCTGTCTAGACTTCTATGATTGATTAAATGAGAAATTTTTTATCCGTTGTAACAATTAAATAAGTGCTCGCGTGGGAGTCAAACTGACGCATGAACAGATGAAAATATTACTAAATAAATATGGATTCTTTTTAACTTTTCATATTTAAAATTATTATTTTATGTTTAAAGTGTGTCTCTGACAATGAGTTTATATAATAACTTATGAATAAAAATTAAGAGTTTTGTTTGCGCATAAAATATAAATAAATTAAAATGTGGGTTAAATTAACTTCTACCTAATAAATTTAGCTAATAAAAATTCTTAATATTCACCTTGCGTTTGCGAAAGCAAATTCGTGTATATGTTTAACAAGTCTGCCTTCGGGGATCACAAAGTAAGCACGTGTGGTATGCGGTATTACCTAAGGCTGTCAGAATCCGAGATCAGTTTAGCCAAAATAGCTGCATATTTGTAAATCAACTAAATAGACTGTTTTCAAAAATTAATTTGAAATTTTTTTTTAAACTAGATAAAAATTGCTATATATAGCTCAGAAAATTTACTTACAACTTTGTTGTAAATTTTCAAAACCGACACTTTGCGCGCGTTTGAAGGGTAACTTCATCACGTGAGCATCACGCTGTAAAATATTAAAGGACGACAAGGTAAATCTTGTGAGGCACACACGCCGCCAACAAAGGATTATCCTTCGTTTGGGCGCCGGGAGAAAGATAAAATTTCCTTTCGCTAAGTCGATCATAAATTTTTCACTCGCGGCGGAGAAGCGCGGGATACCACCTAATACGACGTGAGTTTTCGCCGCATTCCATTGACCTCGTGATCTCGTTGTGTGAATTTTCGTTACTTCGCGCACCGTTGTATAAATTCAGCCAACGTGTAACAAATCCGTGGATCCTTGACGGGCGCAACGTAAGCCGAATACGCAAGTTTGGTTATCATTTATCATGACGGTGCGACAGAATGATTGAGCTACTGTTCCTTAGCTATTTTCTCGAATAAATGAAGATTATGTGAACAATAGTATTTCAATTTCCGAATAATTTTTCAGAAAATAATTTAAGATGTTCAAAAAAATCTTGTCACTCCACAAGAAGAGATATTTATTATTTTGCGATGTTTCATTAATAATATAAGGAAAAAAAATGTTTTAATTTAAATAAAAATTCTAATTACATTCACGCAATTAGTCTATCAAAATAAGATGTTCCTGTTTTACGAGAAAAGTTATTTATAATCGAATAGTTTAAATTTTATAATAAATACCTAGCTTGTATGATTATTTAAATATATTAAAAGTAATTTATATATATCACAGTCAAAGTGTTAATTTGAAATTCAGTAATTATTAGTTAATGTTAATTTGATAAGTAAATGTATTCACAAGCAATGAAATTTAAACTTTTACTACCAGAAGTATACATTTTCACACCTGAGTTAATAAAAAGTATCCTAGTCAATATATGCTTGTCTAGTAAATTGAATATATTTACTAGAAATAGTAGACATTTGTATATTTAGTAGATACTTTTGCTAACATCTTACACAAACGCATACCCCAAGGAGAAATAATCGGTTTATAGACGTCGATTCGATATGTCTAATTTAAACATTGTATCATCGAATCGATGTCTATAAATATCGAATCATCTATAGACCGTTGATTTCTTCCTGGGGCATTGATTAGTAAATGTATACATATTTATTAAATTTTACGCTTTTACTGTGACACACACACACACACACACACAAATATAAACATACACGTACATATAAACTCTGTTAAATTTATAGTGTTAAACTGAACTTTATTTAAGTCGCCACTGCTCCTACTTAATAAATAGTTATTTTTTAATAAAACAATGAAGTTAAATAATTTAAAACAGTTCAAATTTAACCAGTTTTTTTTATTTAACCATTAAAACAGTTAAAATTTGGGTTAAATTCTATTGTTTTATTTAAAGTTTAAAGTTTAAAAGTAACTGTATTGTTTTAGTTAAAAATAACTGTTTATTAAGTACGAACAGTAGCGACTTAAATAAGGTTCAATTTGACACAATAGATTTAATAGTGAAGGGATTATTTATAATTGCAGGTGAATGAAATGCGTGTGAGTCGAGTCTGTTTCTTTTCGAATACTGTGAATCTGTAATATTGTATATCTATGAGTGTAAAACGTTGTTGACCTCTCGGAAAAAAAGAGGTCATAAGTCGAAGGACTCGTGCTGGCACGAACATATCCTGTCGGACAGTAGCTATCTGGGACCCTTCTCTTGAGGCAGCTCCATGTAAAAAAACGAAAGTCTTTGATGAAACCGAGTTGCACGCACGGGCAGGCGAAATAATCGGGAGACACGATTTCGGCAATGGAGGTCAATGTCTGCTCTCCAATGATGCTTTTTGGGATGCAGTTGCGTCTTGTTAGTACACCCACATTGTCGCTCATGAAGAAACGCTAAATCATCCAATTGTAAAAAGCATGACTGACAATAAGAATATATTTGCTAAACAACGCAATATTTTATATCACGAATGCTTAAGGGATTTCCTCTAAACATAAATAGGCACCATAATTTTTTACAACGGTTGATGTCTCAACATTAAATTGTCTTACTAATTATATGTTTTGATCGTCAAACTTTTGCCGAAATGAAATCTATATTTAAAGTTTGTAAGGAAAATAAACTATCTATTTTTTTATCCTTGAAGAGTGTAATTTATGAGGATTTCAAGGTCTTTAATTGATTACGATTCAAGAACTGTTGGTGAGATTGTACGTTAATTGGGTGTAGCTTTTTAGAAGAATCTATATGAATTGATTTGAGAGTTCGTGAGTCGAAAATCCTCGCTGAAAATTTTTTACATGCTGCTGCAGAAAGCAAAAAATCGAATTTTACGATCAAATTTATGACGTCTTTGCAAAATTTTTATAGCGTCTGTGATGCTGTTTCGTCGATCGCAATTGGAAATATTAACACATTTAAATGATGAATTAATAAAATTATTTCTCCAAGGAACAAATCTGTTCTGTTTTCGTATGTCAAATATTTCTATTTTACTAATTCTAATTTAGGAGGATTTTGCACATTAATTATATGTTCGATTCTTCTCATCATCTTTTATGCATGAATGGTGCTGATTCCACAACGGAATCATCAGTTTGAGTCCTCTAGCTGACTTCTTGCAGGATTTCTTGCCGATTTCTGCCGATAAAGCAGAATTGAGACTTCAACGATCTTCTACAGTGCCTTAATATTTATATATATCTTAAATGAAAAATAGTTACAGTGAAAACGAATGAAATCGAATACGTCATATATACTATATCGATAGAATCAACAAGTCTTTCCTTTCTCTTTGGAAATTGAGTATTAACGATATTAACAATAATCATGATTGTGCTCATCATTTCTGACGCCGGTTGGATGTTAACGATCATAAGAAGTCAGAGAGTGAGTGAAAGGTACCATAGATCGCGCCACGAATAAAAAACGCAATTTTATATTTGTGATAATATTATAAAATAGATTCAGAAATACTAAGCTCGCATATTTTTGCAAATAAAATTGTAGAACAATGGAATTTATACAATCTGTCTAAAACATACATAAATAAAATAAATCAAATATACCTATATATATTTCAAAGGAGATGAATGAACAATTAAAGTGTCGAGGCATTTTCAAATATAAACCATCAATTCTCAGCATTCTCTTTAAAATTTAAGAAACTATTAGAAACGGAATTAACCAGGTAATTTTATTCGTGAAGTTAATAAAATTAAACTTTCCGTTTTAATTTAAGAAAAGATTTCTTTCCTTTCTCTCTCTCCCTCTTTTCATCAAATCGTGAACCTTTCTCGTTCTGCGTTCAGCGATATGGCGCTTTCATATAATAAGATTTAAGAAACTATTTAGAATAGAATTAATAATTCTACTTGTTAAGATAGGGAAATCCGTCAATTCGATTCAAGGACAGATTTCTTAATTCTTTCCTTCTCTCTGTCTCTTATCAAATCACAAAGATTCTCTCGTTCCTTGTCTCGTGTTCAACGACACGACGTGCAGTTTCATAAGGGTACCTCGGGTGCTGGAGATTATGACGGGTTATTTGGATAACGGAGGACCTTCTCACGTCGTGACCGGCCTGACCCGGCGGCGCCGCGCGAAACACGGCTTTGTATCGCGCGCGTATCGGTAATTTCGCGAGGTATCATTTTTCATCGCGGTCCCCCTGCACCGAGTGCGTCGGTCGAACACGCACGCCGGACGTGTCTATCCGCTGCGAAGTACCAGGTGATGAATTGTCATCGGGTCCCCGCCGTTCGCGCCTCTTTAATCACCCGACTGCGTAACAGCTCCGTTGAAGCAACTCAAGTGAGTTTGGCTCATCTGCCGTCGTGAAAGTAAAAATGCCTTACCGCAGTATTTGGGTTAGCGGGATGGCCTCTCCGCGGTACGAAATAATGGCGTGTCTTACTACATTACGAGGAACTGGCGAAACGGGACCTCCGAGAGTGTCGGCCAGTCACGATTAATTGGCCATGTATCCCTTTTTTTTGTGACAACTTGCAGTAACGACGATGCTGATAATTATTAACATATCCCGTGCGTCATGTAATATTAAAAAATATAATTATTACAATTTTTATTGTCATCTTGTACAGCAGTATTAATATATTAACAATATACGATATATATTGTGATATATTAATAATATATTATAATTGCTCCTAGAAATGACTCGTTCGTTAACTTATTCCTGTTATTAAAAAAAAAATTAATATGTGGTGTTAAACTGTTTAATTCTTACAATTAGTTGCGTACTCTTAAATGCCCTATTAGATGTATAAGCATCTATAAATTTCCTTAATATAAAATTTTCCTACATTAGTAAGGATTATCTATTATTATTATGTTTGCAAGATACTTGACTTATTTTATATATACAAAAAATATGACTTTTTAAAAAATAAATTTTTGTTACAGGTAAAAGTTTATGAAGTGCAGACAGTAACCGTCTATATTTTTAAGAAGTGCCCGTTCTACCCTTATTCATGCCCCTATCGACTGCCCTATACGAAGGTGACTCGTCCGTTAACTTAAATCTGCTCTCCTCCCGGTTAACAATTACATCGAACGACTTTGCTCGCGCGAAGGAAATCGTTGGCTGTCGTGGTTATTCGACGATCTTGAAATCCGGTGAGCAATCAATGCCGAAGCATATTAAGATAGTTGCGCATCTCGTCGTTCATTTGCGTCACAATCTACGCCGGGCCTGCCGGGACGATTGCGAACACGGTGGATTAATTTAATGAGCGTATCCGCGTCTTGAAATTCGGCAAAGAGAAGACTAACGAGGACGCAAAGGCGGGTACTGCGTGCAATTAATTTGGAAATTAGATATTCACATGTATACTCACGTTTAATGTCATTGCGAAACACATTGCGAGGAGGCAAGAAAAGGAGGGGCAGAAGGAGGAAGAGAAGAATGACGATATGACGTGGATCTATCGAGATTCTACTTTTCTATTATGATGCGACGACATCTAACATCGCCGGCTCACGATAAATCCTGATCTTTGACCACTTGGCGGCTTTTGTACGTTTCGGACGTATTGTTATAAAAATTATCACACAATCGCAATTGTTACGCGGTCAAATTTATCGGCAATGTGAATGCGGAATAGATATCCGTGTGCGATGTCCTTGACATTAACTAACGGCGATTAGAAATGCTAGAAGAATTCCTTACAATATAAATCTTTCTGTCGCGCGCACGATTTAATTCAATAACTTCCTCGCGTTGTACGCGATTCCGTTGAGCTTTTCCTATCGATTTACTCGTTTCTGATCTCTCTCTCTCTCTTTCTCTCTCTCTCTCTCTCTCTCTCTCTTTCTTTGCTTTTCTAATATACGACCTTCGTGAAAAAGAATACCGCCTTTTTTCTTTTCAAATACCATCGCGCGTATATCTATGATGTATGGTCGAGGACAGAACGGTTGCAACACTTTTTTCATGATAGGTTTTGGAATGCACTAATATTTTGCGAATGCGAACTGATTGATGCACTGTCTCTGGGCTAGAGGCAATATCCCAATTGTGGTTCGTATTCGCAAAATATTAGTGCATTCCAAAACCCATCGAAAAAATAGTGTCGCAATCGTTCTGTCCACGACCGTATACCTACAGTATCCATGGTGCCCGCTTGATAATAATGACACTGTTCAATAACTTCACACGGGGTACACACACGTGTTCACACGTGTCCGAAGGTCGTGCGTTAGCCCGCGGGCGATGTTACTCAAAACCGAAAGTTATCATCGCTAAATAAAATAATATTAAGTTTACGATATCATCGGCATGTTGTAAATCTCTCGAGACGAGCGTGTTAATGTGTGTCCACAGATAACTCAGATAACCCAGAGCCCGGGTCCTTCCCAAATAATTTCTCTCAAACAATTATCGCGCGAATGCCTGTTAAACACGTGAAACGTTCTCCATCCATTATTTTACTCTGCCTTCTATGTCTCTTTATCCTCAGTTTTTCCATCTTCAGATTGTGTATCTTCCGTTGATTTACTTTCTCGCACATTTGCGTAGCGCGTAAGCTTAATTTATTACAGGAATATTCTTGCTTTTCCTCTTTTTTCGCGCACACATAATATAATTTACATACGTACAATGATTTTTTTAATATTAAATTACTAACCAATTTTATTATTACATACATGTTTTTTGCAGATTAAATAATCATTTAAATAATAATTTGTAATAATAATAAATATAACAGTGAGATGCAAATGTAAATGACTTGGAAATTCGATATCAATAAGAAGATATCAATAAGAAATATTATAATTTTCGCAGAGAAAAATGTGCTAAACACATTGGATATATTTTTTCATGCTGCTGGACACGATTATATTTTATTTTAAGCGAAATAAAATATATGTATTTGACTGCAAATACACGCAGAGGTACGTGCTATTTGTATTCGATAAGTTGCCACTTCTCGCTACGTCGGCTAACTTATTTTGCGAGCCACTCGGCCATGAATTCAGCCACCGGAATAAATGCGCGGGATAATCCCGTTCGGCACAAGCGGTCTGTAAATAGCGGAACCAAACGAGCTTGTGTGCGAACGGTAGCAACGGTGGTTTGACAAATCTAACGATCGTTCTTTTACTTGCGAAGCTAATATATATAGGCTAACATGTACATACCTACTTATACGCGAAATTAGCGGCACTTACGTGTCCGTGACGAACGAAGACGGACGAAGACGAGACAATCGCCGTATTTTCGGAATTCCTGGCTTAACAGGCGAAGCAATTCTCTCATTAATATATTTCGAAAGGAATACTATGTGAGTAGTTTCAGTAGCCAAATTTGAATATTATGATTTACAATTGGTACTTTTTACCGCGCTGCTTTTAACATGATTATAAATATGTGGATTCCTGGGTGGTCACGAGTTGCTCTTTAGCACAGGTATATCGATCTTTTTTTATTCCAATGACGCGTTTATCATCATCAGTTGCATCTTATTGGACGAAAAAAACTCTATCATGACTTCATTTGTTTTTAACAGCAGTTACGATATCTCTTTTTAAACATCTCATGTCATAAAAAATAGATTTTTTTTAGATCGAATGCATATCCAGACTATCAAATTATATTTTATGAAATCGTAATTGAAACAATAACGGTTATGACTATTAAGATTATTTAAAAATATATAAAGTCTGTTCTAAATAGATATGTAAATTTCCTACAGATTTACAGAGTACAGAAATACTCCCACAACTACACTTAAAAAAAATAAGAACAAAACTCTATTTTGATATGGTACTAAAAGTAAATGTCAAATAATCCACTTTAAACACTTATTTCAATAATTCACTGTATCTTAAAATTAGAAATTAAATTATCTCTAACTTTGGGCTAGATTTCGATTGGGACTAAACTAAAATTCTCTTTGCTGCTCTTTTATTACTTTAAAAAAAAATGATATCTAAATATAATGACAAACTTCAGATAATTTTAATAGTCATTGTTATATTTTTTTAAAATATTCGATTTTCGAAGAAATTAATTGAATACTGCAAATTAGCGCTGACAGGTTACAGGTGAAAAATGCAAACTACGAGAACTGATAAAGATAAATTCCTGCTTGAGAAACGAAATTGTATTTATCAAATAAAAGTTACATGAAATTTCCAGAATTATACTTTTTTTTACAAAAAAATGTCTTTTAAAGATAAAAGTCTGTCAGTATAGATAAAATCAAAATAGTCTTTAAAAAGGAATAAGCACATGAATAATTTTACGAAGTAGAATATATGTATACTTGCTTTTAAAAATATAAAGTTAAAGTTCGCGGAATACACATATGTACAAAAATCCTTAACACAAGTATAAAAAGCAGTTCAAGAAATACGACTAACATAAAAAATAGATTAAATGAGAATTGTTGTCTCTTTTTATTGTAGAATAATATCTCTAAAATCTTTTTCACACTTGAAATATTTTATTTTAACGTTTTTAGATCTATATATTTGAAGATATACTCCATTCATTTTTTATTTTTATCATTACATATTCTTATTTACGACGATTCTTAAAACGCGAATTTCTATCAAATACAAATAGCGTTGTCAACTTGCTCAGTAATTGATGTGATTTTCAACCGCTCTTTTTTGTTTGAAGCTGCTAAAGTGCACGCTATTTTTCTTCTACGATGACAGGGATTATTTAGTTTCTATCCTAAGCGGGTGAGTTCACCTCTTTGCTAAATTGAAACACACCGACCTTTTACGGTCTTTTAGGCATATGTATGACCTCAAGTTTAAAGTCCTCCCGGGGAGACCAGATCTCTCATGCGTGTAGGTACGTGCGCGCGCGTTCCGCTCATCCGCAAAATTCGGATGTATGTTACGACTCATTCGAGTGGGGGAACGAACAAGAGGACCCGGGGGATGGAGGGGGCTTAAACAAGGTATTACCAGAAGGTCCCCGAATGTTCGCGGATGGAGGATATATAAAGTGGAAGATGTGCACGGGATGTTAAGTCAGTGCATGAGAAGCTTCCGAGTGGCAGCTAGGGAAAATTAAACACATCTTTTTTTTTCGACATGAATCCATTGGTGAGTTTGAGTTTTTGTGCGAATAAAAGACGTTACCTAATGCAATGACACGGAATGGACGTGATCTTGAATCTATTATTCTTTTGTAATTTGAGTACTTTTATAAATCAAAGCGCTCGATCAGACAATCATTATTAGTGCATTTTATAATCTATTTAATTTAAAAATATAATCGAAGATCTTTGTTATATATAAATTATTTAATTTTTATTGCTCATAAATCGTATAATTTAAAATTGTCAATTAATTATTAAATGAGAACAAGCGTTTGCAATAAATGTTACAGGATTAATTAATATAATAAGTAAGCTACATTTATTGTCTACTCTTTTACTTTATAAAATTGTTCCTTTTCTAACATAAAATGATATTTAAATCTGTAATTGAGATATCAAAATTTTATGTAAACTAATCAATACGCTTTATTGCAATATAACGGAAATTATAAACTATTTAGATAGATATAAAGTATTTTACTAAATCAATCACTGTGTAAGATAAAAGTGAATTATGTTGATCTTTTAACAGTCTGTTATTTGTCGGTAAAATTTTTCAGAAGAAACCTTTATTCTAACGTGAAAATAAATCAAACCCCAGGATGCAAACTCAAAGGATTGCATGATCCTCTGTTTTTTTTTTCAGGTAATCGCTTTGTGCGCCCTCGTGGCAGCGGCAATCGCCGCCCCCATTGACAACACTAGTCCAATCCCCATCGTCAGGCAAGCCTTGGACGGGCCCAACCCCGACGGATCCTACAACTACAACTACGAGACCGGTAACGGTATTCAGGCTCAGGAAGAGGGTCATCTCAACAATGCCGGCACCGACAACGAAGCCCTGGAGGCACACGGCAGCTTCAGCTACACTGACGCCGAAGGCCAGACGTACCAAATCACGTACATAGCCAACGAGAATGGATTCCAGCCAGAGGGTGCTCACTTGCCGACCGCGCCCCCGGTGCCACCGCAAATCCAAAAAGCCCTTCAGTACATCGCCGAACACCCCGAGGAGAACGAGGAGGAGGCTAAAGATCACTAAAAAGAATACCGAAAAGGGCCCTGTGACGGAAGGAAGGATAGAATCGGCGAGTCAAAGGCGAGTTCTCGAAAAGGCGAGACGATCGAAAGAAGCCTGGCGCGGAACCGATCGTGGCAGTATCGAGGATCGACAGGTATTCGATCCCCCGTGGTAGAACGGCGATCACAGCTAGCAGACTCGGCCCTTCGCGTCGTGATTATTTCTGTATTTATATGCGCTCGTATAATCAAAAAGAAATTTTTTTGTACAACATCTGTATGAACAGAATCCCGATGATATGTTGTAAATAAATTTCGTCGCTGTGCAAGTCATGTTGGCGTTTATCGAGGGTGGAATGGGTAGACGAACGATGGCGCTAGGTTCATTAATCGCGTTAACGATATTTTTAACGAGAGACGCGTTAGCGAGGCGCTGGGAGAGACGCTTCACGAAGTTGTGGAAAGTTTGGAGCGCGCGGCGCGCAAATTTCTTGCAGAAATGCACCGTTCTTTTATACAACTTCTTTTTATGATTCATCGCTTTATGGAGATACAACGTAAAACAACGGTCCCTCGGTAATGAATAGTGACAATAATTAGCGTCTCCATCCCGAATATTAATGGGCGTCCTCTGACATTTTGAGTTTCGCGCGTCACGTCAAGATAAAAATCCTAAGTGCAGTTCCACGTGGCAGTAAGTTAATTCGCACGGAGCAAACTATGCCCATTATTTAAATGGTCAAGGATAAAATTTACATGACTGAATTATGATAATAGCGCTTATAAGAAATGAATAAATGCAGTCCATTTATTACCTTTGTCGAATAACTTAGGAATAACGTACGGCTGCAAGATTAAATTTGCTCGAAACGTGACTCACACTTTCGAGAAGAGGCAGGTACGTGTAAAAAAAAATGAAGCGCACTTATCAAATAATCTCGGTGTGTATCTCACTTATTAATGCAATTGTTTACATACGCTTGAATGTTATACATATCGAGTGTAGGTCATTCATCTTCAGTTCTAGATGACAACGACAAAAAAGTGACAAAAGTGCTTATATAACAAAAAAGAAGATTCGTCTCTTTACATTCTAAAACGTTTCTGCGTTTGATTATGAGATCATGCGCAACTACGAAGAGAAAGCATATACGAGAATAGACGAGTCGCTATTGTCGGAAGTAAAACCACCCCTCGACTAATACGGGAATGCTGTACAGGAAGGACATAACCCCCGCCAAAATCTACATCTCCACTCACAATATCTCCTCTCTCGGGAATTTCTATAAAAATACAAATTTTTATTGAAAGCGTCGTATTATATGAAGCGGCAGGAGACACACAGTTAGGCAGTTTTGGACGGACTTAACGCTACTTCGCGCGGACGCGCGCTCGCTCAGTTTCGTTTATTCGAGGGTAATCGGTATTGGCGGCTGTCGCGGCGGACCGCGTTCTGCGTCGGGTTGTCCTTCTCGATCGGTTCCGGGGTGCTGGGCTGCTTGGCGATCCACTCGAGGGCACGCTGGATCGCCGGCGGGATCGGCGGCGGGGTGGGGATGTGGGTGCCGGACACCTGGGTGCCGAACTCGTCGGCGGTCCAGCTCATGGCGATGGGGGTGCCGTCCGGCGCGTTGTACTGCACGGAGCCCTGGATGAGCTGCGTCTCGTCGGAGGTGCCGGCGTACTTGCGGCTGCCGCTCTCGCGCTGGAGTATGCCGCCCTCGGTCTCGTAGGAGAACGAGTAGTGACCGCGGGTGTCGCCGAGATCACGCGAGTAGCTCACGGTCTTCTCCGGCTCCTGGAAGTATTGGCCGTGGACGAGCCCGAAAAGGGCCGCTAACAACTGAAAACGGAGGAATGCAGTCAGTATCTTTTTTTTTTTCTTGCACGTCTGATACCTCTGAGAGATTATCCATATTTAAAGCAGGGTTGTAGATTTCAAGATTACGTCCACACGGATTATTCACGTGAAATCTACGTGATGTTTACACGGTCTTTTTGCTACGTAGACAATGTAGACTTGTAAACTATGTAGATTATTGTAAATTGTATCACTAATATTTACAATATAAAAGAATTAAATTATAAAGCAGTCTCTACCCACAGTAGAAATGTCCAAAACGTATTTAGGAACAGGCTAAAGATACCACGATATCTTTAGGACATTCTTGATGTATTTTGAACATTAATTTAACTATGAGATTAAGACTAAGAGTGTAACCAGATAATTTTTCTTACTCAAATGATAGTTTTTTTTTAAATATCGTTAAATTATATGTATTTATTAAATGGATAAATATATAGTCTATTGACTGTCTACATAGATGACACTTTATACAATAGTTTACACGTTGTCTACACGTAAACGTAGAGTATCACATTTTACGCGTAGATATACAACCCTGATTTAAAGTACATATATCTTTGAAAGTTTTTCAATTGCAGCATTATTAAAATTATGTCTGAAGACTGCCTTGTAAAGTAAAAGGTTAATTTAATGTAACGCGTGCAATGGTTTCTTACACAATGATTCAATCAATAATTTTTTCATTATTCAGTGTGAAAGTGGAACAAATTTATTTTCACGATTTTCTTTAAATCTGCGTCAGTACTCATTATATTATATTAGCGATATTTCAAAACTAGGACGCGCAATTCTCAAACTAAGAAGTTTAATATCCGCGAAAATGATGATTCGAGGAGTTGATTGATGATTCCTCGGACGTTATTATTACCGACTTAATTACATCATCCTCATAAATGAATAACGGACATTGCGTTGTTTTCAGGATGAGGTGACGACACCGAGCGTCCTTCTCGGCGACGAATCTCGCGCTCATCGCCGCCGAGTGGTAAATACACATGCTTTCCGTGACGAGCGTTTACGATCACACTAAATTCACTTTTATAGACTTCTTGAAGGCGTGTAAAGGCCGCATAAAATAATCGAAAGAAATGGCTTGCATTATCCCGCGAATATCTCAATGGGCGAATTCGCGTGTGGATTAATCGGAATGATTTCATTCGAGCGCAGCGAAAGATCGGGGCACGATAATCGGGACGTGCTATCTCCGTCTCGAGGTGATACTCGCGGTTGTAGGTGATCGTGCACGGCCGAAGCATGGAGAACCATGGCGCGAGTTTGCACACCAGATGCTTTAATCCCCGTCATGTATGTAAAACGACCGCAGAGATACCTTTCCCCGCGAAAGGTCAGGACAAGATGAATGTGTGGGTAGGTAGGTCACGATTACGATCGGCAAGGGGAGGGTATCTCGCGCTAATGACGCCGTATTACGTTGCTCACGATCGCGAACACGATTTTTTCCCATAACCCAACATAGTCTTCGATTAGCATCCGGTGACCGAGACCGATTCATTTCATGCCGGTTTAGCCGGTGCATTCTCGCCACCATTCACTGTGCAGCGCGAACAATCGCGTTCAATGTAAATAAACGCATTCCTTTTAATGTGATGACTGATAATCCCATAATATTAATATTATTAATAATAGTAAAATAATAATAATTAACATTAATAATAATAGTATAATGTAATGATAATGTTTATAATGTAATAATAATTATCAATTTGTAATATTAATAAATTATAGATTAACAATTACAATATATATTCAAAGAGAAGTATCATTATGATAATAAGATATCACTTTTAAGTTTTTATTTTGTAAATTTTTTTTTAATATTTAAACGTTTCTCTTGTCTTTATGTTTTCTAATATTTCTTGCACTTGCATATTCTATCGTTCGAGAAGTTCTTTTCGTACATTGATATGTAGTAGTATGATCAAATCGCGTGGGAAACTGACAAGATTCGTGGTAACATCGTTGATCAACAATAACATCGTTAGTAAACGTCAGAACAGATACCTCGGATTAGTTGGCCAATCTGTGTTTTCTACAGAGAAAGTGGACAATTAGAAAATACATACGTATATGCAAATTAACGGCTCGTTCGTCATGGTCGGCGTCGGTCATCATCGGTGCAAGACACGCGCGCGACAATATCGCCATTATGCGAGCTTTACAGATTTAATGAGTTATGTAATTTAAATAGATTACGCAACGCGTTGTAATGGCTGTTTTGCGCCGTGTAACTTTCGTATACGATGATGAATAGCCCTACCATACGCACACGTAACGTTTAAATCACGCACGGCCCGTAAATATGTACGGGCGATCAACTTCGACTTCGCGATTTAGAGAAATCAATGATCGGACGTGTGTTCATTGTTATGGAAATTAAATGCATGGGGTGTGACTAATGCGAAAATATATGTGCGAAAATTGAACGCGTTCTCCATTTTTTTTTCCGCGAAAGACTGTCGCAAGGAAAAATTATTGCGCGCGTTTTCATCGACGCGTTTTTTTTTTAATCGGACGATTTATCGTAGCACTATTATACTGTAGAATAACACAAAAGTAGAGCGGCATGAATAAACGATTTTTAAACAATAAATAAAATGCATTGTTTAATAGTGCCAATTTGAAACGTATGGATTAATGATGGCGAAATAAATACGCGACAGCCTCCCCTTCCCCCGAGGTAATCCATTTTGCTCATATTGTCAAAAAGTTTAATGTAATGCTTAATATTATATGCGAGGGATCAAACATAAAATACCGTGTAAAATACATTTTACGCCCGTATGTGCAATTTATGTATATTTTTCCCCGTGACCCAGATACAGTAAAGCCTCGTAAAGTTACAAAAATGCAGTGCCATATCATACTTTATCTGCGTTACACATAAAAGCTTTTCCTTCTGAACAGAGTCCCAGCGAAATTACAACTTATATTCATGCACATGTTATGTGAAAGTTAGTTCCATGCATGCGTTAGGCGTAAACGTTATTATATTATCTTTCCCGCGTATAAAAGATTCAGATTTTCTTAATGTTCAAATAAGAATAAAACAACTTCTAATCTGATTTTATTTTAATTCTCTCGAACTACCCCGATCACAAGTTGTATCATTCATATTTGGTACAGAGAAGAAACAAACATTTATTTTTTTTCCTTAATTTTTTTAATATTGACTTTTAATATTGATTTTTCTTTCTCTCTCTCTTTCTCTTTATTTTTTTGCTACTTTTGTATATTTTTTTATTTAGTGCGCTACGTTTATCGCGAATCGAATGGACTGCATTACGGTTTGGAGATTAAAAAATTAGTTGTCGAAAACGAATCACGCGGTATGATTCGATCGTCGGTCTCACGCAGGATTTGACAGAACCGAAAAGGAGCAGAGGACTTACCAGGGTACGCATGCTGCCGGCTCGATGATGCTTGCGCGATTTTATATGATTACGGTGCGCGTAGCCGAGAAAAACGAGAAGCGGGTCCTGAGTCGGTGCAGCGCGCGTTAAAGCGGAATAGATGACGTTAGGCAAAAAAGAGGCAAGGCGGCAATCGAGGCACCACGAGCGGCGGTCACATGTAGAGCTCGCCTTTCCCGATGGTTGCCGGCGTGAAGTTCGCGAGCAACTCTTGGACCGTTGGGGGCAGAGCCGACCTTTATACCGGCGCAGTCCACGAGATGCGGAGACGCCAGCCTTTACATAACCCGGGAAAGTTTATTTCGGCCCGGCCGTTGCTCTGGCGTTGCTCCCTCTAAGAGCTCTAGAATCGGGAGCACGCCGCGCGGCACCGACGGCAAGACGGTGGGCACCCCCGCTTGGATGCACGCATGCACGGATGTCACCGCGCCGCGACCGCGGCGTGTGGTCTCCACCTGGCGCCCACCTGCGGGGGAAATACCTGCGGGAGGGAGGGACCACCCGTAGACATCGGCGCGGTGACTATACGCGCGCAAATTACACTCCGCGCCGGAGATTTTCCTCCTCGACCGCAATGATGACAGTTCGGCGACGGTCCGTGCGGCTTGCAGTGTTTTCGCCCTTACGTAATGACACACGAGGCGACCGCTTTGCGCAACCTGCGGACTCGGACGCGGAGACTCGGCTTCTCTTTTCGGTTGCCGCCAGTGGCAGCTCGATGCGATCTCGCGGGATCGTCGCTTAAATGCGTTGAAGAAAAAAAAGAAGATGAAAAGAGAATGAATAAAGTTAAGAAAGAGAGAGAGAGAGAGAGAGAATAACCCGACTGTTTTCTCAAAGAAATGATCGATTCTGCGATGTTCAATATTACGCTCTTCTCGCGCAATATTTCGATATCGGAGATTTAAAGCCGGTAACACCTGCGAGTTGAGGATTAGATGATGCAAATACGCGTAAACGTTTGGTTTGTTCATGAAGCGGGAAGATAAATTAATGTCTGTCAGATCGCTGACGCGTAACGTCGACAGCTGATACGCGGCGGCGACTTGTATGGATCAGCGAAGGATTTTATAACTGTTTTACGATCTTGTTAGTTTTGAAACAGCTGTACAGCAAAGTGACGGGTCGAGAGACATAACTCGTATCGCGTGTTTTTTGCTATATACGTGCAGATCCCGCGGAGATCTTCACGAAGCGATCGGAAAGCGTATCACGTCGTTGGGATACGTAAAAAGTGACTGAAACTCGAAGATATTAGACTGCCTTTTTTTTCATTCTACATGACGTAAGTGTTGTGTTGCGCCTCACGGAAATGTCGAGGCAATCTCTTATTATCATATTTTGAGACGTACAATCGACCTTGGAATAGAAATTTCTTTATTTTAAATTTCGATCGAATCGCGGCGTCAGAGGAGATGGGTACGTTCGCGAGTCTAGACAATGACTGCAGAATTATTCGACTGAGAAATTATAGAAATATTTCACGTGGGCTTTAATGTCAAATGCAAACGAACGCGCGGCGGTGCCCTCATCGTGAAAGGCACGGGCCTCTCGTCGCGTCACGATCCAAAAATTCAGATTAGTCTCCTGGATTTTGGATGCAAATTGAGTGGATGATATACTTCTAACGCGACCTTGACTACTGCGAATTCATTCTTGTTTCGCTCTTGACGTCGCCGTTCGAAATTTCTTACGAATTCCCAGTGACATTACGAATTCGCGGAGAGTTCTGTTATGGCATCGACAATTATGATACCGTGACTGATCGAGACGCAAATTCGAACGGTGGGTGGATCGCTGCAATTTCAGCTCGCGCAGTTCATTTTCCGAGCGCGCAAATATTTTCCCTCTTCGGGCGCGAGGGAGGTAAAGGTTACACTCAATTCTACCTGTCACTTGACCGTAGGGTAACGACACCGGGCGTCTCGAGCCACCCGTTACCCGGTCTTCCGTGGGAATTGAAACTGCAGACAGCCGCCAGGCTGGTCCTTGGCCCAGTGATCCCAACCGTATGGTAGCGTGCGCGGCCACAAGTGCATGTGTAAACAAGGATATTACGCGATAATCAATGTTTATCGCGTAAAAGGAATCGTGGTGAAAGGAAATGGAATCTTCGTTAAACGGGGCGTGAATCGAATGGGAAAAACCACCCAAGATAGATGGAAACATCCATTGATATTCCGTTACTTTTTTTTTAATACACGGTCTTTTAACTCATATATAGCTGTTTATAGCACTTTTAAATAATTTTTGTTTTCAAGTAATAACAATCACTTGCACGAGATGTTATCTACTCTACAAATGTGTTGCTGTTAATACATTATTGTAAATAAATCTCGTGATCTTAGACTTACAAAATAATAAATTGCATAGAGAAATTTATAATAATATATTTGATCTGGATTGAAGTTAAAAAATCCATATTTCCTTTGGTTCTTTTTCTAGATAAAGTCTAAAGTGTATATTATAGATTTATCTCTTATTTCAATAACGTTTTATATTTTCATTAAACTTTATTCTCGAAAATATTTTATTTAGAAGAACAAATTAGGGATAACTTGTTTAATATCAATCTAATAATATAAATAGTACTATAAAAAGTCTAATAATCTTACTATATTTTAAAAAAAGATTTTTTATTGTTGCTCTACAAAGATTATTAAGATAGAATTAAAATAATATTCTTTGATAAAATAAAGAAGTAATTAAAATATAAACAGTTAAGTTTTATAGCTATGTCGCCATACCCCGTCTGCATATTGAGCAAAACGAAACTTGACGATCGTTTCATGCAAGCTCAAAATCACCGCAGTAGATATGGTTGCTACTGAACAGGCGAAAGCCAGTGTTTTACTTATCATCTATACGTAGGATGAAACTGATTACTTTCGTCGTAATATCGTTAAGTATAAGCGAATTAAAAACTAGCGAGAAGGACCATGCTTAGTAATCAAACCATTACACAGTCGTATTAGAAATATTCATTGCGTAATCTGCATTTATAAGAATTCTTGTACATAGGATCTTTTTCGTCTATACTTTCTATCAGATCTATAGAACGATAATCAAATACCGATGCTACTTTAATGACGGATATAGACAACCGCTTCGGAACTTCGGACTTGAGAAAGCGACCTTGTTGCCGAGAAGAAAATCGAGGCTATCAATCGCCTACAAAAAAATTCTTTGATCGGTTACTGCGTGATGTTAACAACGATGCGATTATTCTCATTCTTAAATATACAAAGAAGTACAAAATCTAGATATAATATAATAATAATAACTTTACTGAATGTAATGATTGACAATATTTGATATTAAATTTACGTAAGTCAATATACAAAGAAAACAATGATCTACTGCAAGTAAGAAATATTAAAGCTCGCAATAGGTGAAGCTGGGCGGCTGATGTGATATCTTATCTAATTATAATTAATATATATAATAGATAAGTATACAATATAATTCAAATGTAATAATGAATTACTCGTATAAATAGAGAGATACAGTAAGATAAAAGGAGATAAGAATTTTAGTAATAAAAATATGACGTAAATCATTGTAAATGTGAAATAAATAAAGTTATAATAAAATTGTATCACATTCTAATTAATAAAAAAAACATATAGATATAATGAATAAAGTACAAACTTAATGACGTATACTACGTGTGGCTAAAAGATGTGTCATAATCAAAACATGTACGTGGAAATATGAAATTAAGGTGTAATATATTGTAATAAGTTCCTACACATTTATTTGTAACATGGAAAACGTAAAATCTCAGATAAATTAATTATTGTAAGAATAGAAAAGTGAAAAAAATTCCTCATGATGATTACTTAATGCCTACATCGACAAACAATAAACGTTCACATATTGTTCGATTTATCAACTTAACACTTTGATATCAATTTTTCTTTTAGTTATCGTGTCTTTTTTGCTCTCGTTTCGCCGATACTTATGTATTCGACATTTAGCCTCATAATTTGAAGAAATCTTCGAATCATCCATGACTTGATCTATTGTCCATCTCCTCACTCTCTGATCGCATGACCGCGAGCATATGTTGATACCTCCTCCTACATACCCGCTAAATACTCGTCGAGGCGCTGACCATGAGAGAGAGGTGGGCGCGCATTCAGAAGAGGATATCAGCGGTCCCCCCCAGAACCGGCCGAGTTGTACGCGAGTCATACGATTCGGACTCGAGTCTTTCAACTAAGTATGCACGCGTCGCGAATCACGCACGTACAACGGCGCTGACATCGCGGTGTGGGTATATCACACAGTGTGTGACGTGTGCCTTTCGTGCATGCGTATATGCACGTGCGTGCGTGCGTGCGTGCGTCCGTACGTGTATGTGTGTCACGATTCGCGGGCGATCGCGACGCACGGGCGTACACATGAACCCGGATCGCCGTGATACGCGGGTTCACGTTGGTGTCGTCGCTTCGCGGTCCGAAAGCGATTCGTGCACTTCGCGGTTCCGAGAACTTCTGTTCCGAGAAGAGGAAATGGGAAAAGAGGAAGTGAACTGTGAACGAACACGCGCTATGCCGCGCAGACGATAATACACGTGACACGTTCGAGAGACACGCGCACGCGCGCGCGCGCGTGCGTGCGCGATCGTGTATATGCACATAGTGCGCTGGATGTGTAGTCTCGTTATCAATCGAGTGATACGCGGATGACTTTTGTTCGACTCGTCGATTCGCACCCGATTCGCATTTCGAGGCACGCTGCGATCTGACAGGTAACGCACTCCGCGTGACACGTGATGACGCGCGTGGAAGAGTGTCATCGCATGACGCTCTCATACTCGCGCTCACAACGCGCTCCGAAAAGCGCGCGCTCTCCCGATCTCGATCTCTCGCGTTCGCGGCGTGACGCACAAATTGCTCTTCCTCGTTTAGTGAAAGTGCAAGTATTTTTCGCGATGCTTGCGTAACAATGCTGAATCTTCAAAAATATTCGCGGATTAAGATTCGCGCAGCAGATACAGTCGTGTAAAATACGACAAAATTAATGAAAAAATATATATCGTAAAAGCATGTTATTTTCTATGACTATTGCTTCTTTAAATTGCATCATTATTTAAAGAGTTTTTTTTAGAAAAGAAAGCACTTTAAATGACGTTGCAACCATCATTTTGATGAAAAGTGATGTTTTAATAGAAAAATGTTGCTTGTACATTGGCTAATATGTTTTTTACATTTTTCGTAAAATTAAAAAAAAATGTCGAATAGCGTGTTCTTCGAAAGAACTCTTTATTTGCCGATATTGTTTAAAATGTAATTGCTTAAGTAATTTAGAAAATTACCAGTGCGATTATTATTCAGCGATCGTTTGATGTAACGACCGTCCGCGTGGAAATTGTTTGAACGTCGTAAGACATTCGTAAACATTGTCGAGCACGAGAATTTTGTAACAAATCATATTGGATTGATAGCCGTGCGCACCTGCGATGACACTATCTCTAGCTATCAGAACGTCGTAAAGAGTCGCGCAACATAGTCGGTCGTGTCTGCAAAGAGTACGCGCTCAGTCACGTGGACGTCTCTCGTCATTACGTCAAGACGAAAGAAAGTTGTTTTAGCGGGTTTTAGTTGTAAAATGGATACAAGAAAATATCGAATTTGAACAGGTAAATAAAGTGGAATTAGATAATATTAACGCTAAGGAACCCAAAGTCGAGATATTTAAGGCAAACTGAAGCAAATCGGAAAATTCAGGCTTTTGAAACTATGAGAATGTTGATACGTTCGCGCTGGTTTCAAATGTTGTGATATTTGTAAAGAGATTTTTGAATAGCGATATTCTTTATATTTAATAATGTTAACAGTAGGACTGCCGATAATTAACGTATATCTATTTTTATTATTTAATTATACTTATAAATTTAAATATAAATATTTTGGAAAGAAAAATAAAGGGGCGAAAGTAAATTGATTAATTTAATTATTTTTATATTGCAAAAGTCATGGAAACTCTCAGAAAATGTGCCATTACAAATTTGATACAAAATTAGAAACCAATAACTTTGACTATTTTAATCGTTTTATTTTAGTGTTAACAGGAACGTAATAAATATTCATATTATGTAGATATTTGACATTTTATAAAATACGACTTGATTTTTATTAGTGTAATGAATCGTTCGTGAGTGTGAATAATTTAAATCGTCGTACATAAATTTTTCGAATTGATATTCGTCGCAGGATGACGTCTAATATATTCGACAATTTATGCTAATCGTGTGAACTACCGCAGAGAGTCACCTCGCGCCACTCAAAGCTTCGCAACCGGTAACCGTATTACGGACGATACGATTTGCGGATGCGCGTGTTAAATATAATATTTCATTGAATTCCTCTCCGAGAGAACATTCGCAGAATATAGTTACTCACGAAATGTAGATAAACAATTTTAAAAATTGCATAAAAATCCTTTGTAGAGATACATCTCTACGCAAGAAAAGAGAAAGAAGAGATACGTAAAAAAATAAATTCTTGTAACTCATATTCCGTCATGCAAATACGAATATTTTTTGAATGCTAAACAGAAATCGTTTCTAGGCAATTTTTTATAACACATTTTGCAAGCACACAATATTTCGTGTTGACGAAACTTCAATGGTCAGACTATCAAACCGAGCCCGCTCTTTGACCACGCTTTGTTTTACACGGTGTAACATATTTTTCTCGTTTGAAGCCACTTTGAGTTTCATCGCCTCGCCGGTCACTACCACTTTGTCAATAAAATCGGCGGAAGCCCGCTCGAACAATGGTTTGACGTCTATCTCGTCGTTGTTTATTTATGAATTTCTTTCTGGGTGTCCCAACATTGTCGAACGTCTTCTAAATTTTACAGTATATCTAGAGTCAACTTCTCCTTTGAAAATTCGACGGATGCGCGCGCATGTGTATATTCGCGAATTAATTAATAGTTTCTTTTTTTTCTTTCATTCACGTGTCTTTCGAAAATTTGTGTGTTACGCATTGGACCAATGGCCAATTTTGCAATCTGTTTGCGATGCACCTAAAAGTTTAATTAAAGTTTAATTAATTCGAAATTTGAACTAATATCTATTCGACACTGATGAATTGTAATTCATCATCGATTTTGTATATCATATTATAATACTTATTCTCTCATATTATGCTCTCTTCTTTTATTTTAAAGTGGCACTGCCAGAAAGAAGCTAGTTTTCGAAATGGCAGTTTATAACTGCCAATTTTTCTAGGACACTTATAATATAAAGAACTTTTTCCCCTCCCTCAATATATATACATATATATGTACACATATATATATCTCTCTTTCTATAGAGGTGGTCATGCGATTATGGACACCGAGAGCGGTAACAACGACAGCGGCATTAGCGGCAGCATCAGTGACGAGCCGCGCAACGGCAGTAAGCCCGTTCTGCCGATGCACTGCGATGCTACCCACAGCAAGTTCCTCGGCAAGCAGGGAGGCTGCATACGTAAAATGAGTACGATGTTCGAAGAAGAGGACGACGTGTCCGACGACGCGGATACGGACGTAAGGATCCATCGTCATCAGCACCAGAGACGCAACCCCGAGGTCAGCATCGAGGCCGAGTGGTCCTCGGAGGAGGAGAGAGGTCGTCTACTGAACACCGCTGAACGTGAGATCTTTGTTGTGCCGAGCGCAAGTGGTAACGTTAGAAGGACGATCAACCGCGGCGACAGTCCTGAGACTCCTGAGAGCGTTCCTCGGGATAGGGGCCATCGTCGGCGGCCGCAACCGCGGCTGTTGGTCGATCAGGCCGAGTCCGGGTCGAGCTCGGAACGCGACAATGGACCGCACAGCCCCGCCAGATCGAGCGCCAGGAGCCTCGATCCACGGCACTATCGTCATTATTGTCCCAACGTGCGCTCGCCTAGGATCCCCAACATGGATGAGAATCGTCAGCAGCTGCACTGTCCCTGCTGCCATCAGTTATCACCTGCCTGGGCCTCCGTTCTGTACACGGAGACCAACGGAAGTCAGACGCGCTCGTACCCCGATACGATCTCGATCAGATCCCTGGCGTCAATCGGCCTGGGCTCTTCCGACGGCCGGAAGCTCACGATACGTAGAGTTCCCACTTCGCCGTCGGAGCTGCTTAACGTGGTACATCCGCCGCCGTAAGTGAGACACATTACCTACGATCCGTGCCACGGCGCTTTCGAAGAAAACGGCCGCGTGAATCACGCTCCACGTGACAGCGCGCACGCGTGCCCGTTTTGAGCGTGAGTGCGCTTTCGCGCAAAAGCCGAGCCTCTACGAAGGATACCCGATTACGGCTGCGTTCGTGTTTTATCTCGTAACACGAGATGCGCGGAAGATCAGTTTTTGCGTCGCTGTTCTCGAAATGCGCGATTAACTCTTACTGAACCTCTTCTCATTTCTTCGAAGCACGTTATTCCTAAAGAGTTTTCGAAGAGATAATTACGATACTATTAATTATTATTAGAGCACCCGTTTTGTGAAACAAGTAATTAAGATAAAATTGAAGCTGTTTACGTAGCGTCTGGTGAGAACAGACGCGCGAGAATGGTGTTGGGTCTGCGGAGACAAGATTTATTTTAAGAAAAATAAGCGGCGCTCACTTGAGATAACATTTAAATTCCACTTAAATCATCGGGACCGTTTTATCTTAAAAATTGACAAACAATCGAGGCAAATCGCGCTTTATGTAATCTTTTTCCCGTCTCGTTTAATTCAATTACTCCTTCGTGTGAGTGTTCTTCATCTCCGTGTCTGAAAACACATCATGATCGTGAATTAGCATCATGATTAAAATGTGTAAGAAGCTCTGTCTCCCATATGCTTCTCACATAGGACCTAACACTTCGTGCAAATGTCTTAAATCAACCGAACTGTATTCGCGACACATAAAAATGAAGCTGTAGCCCGATGCAACAGTTCAGTAGGAGAGCGCCGCGACAGCAGTACAAAAGCGCTTTGTAACTACCCTAACGATTATCTCCAAACAATAAGGATATCGTAAAACGTTAGAGAATCACTTGCCTAATGCGCGTCAATTGCATCTCGAGTCACAAATTTGCCACTTCGCTTTGTCGCGTCGATGCAGCAGCGAAATTTCTTCGCGCTATTCAAGGTCAGTTGCATCTATTCTCAACGGTTGACTAAACTTTTCTGTTCCTTTCTAGATTACAGTTTTGATAGATAGAAGACAGAGAATGTAAAATAGAAAGTGAATAGATTAAATTTTAACGCAGAAGAATTAAAATATATCTGAGATAGATTGTGAAATATATTACGTTTATAATAGAAAAGAATAATTTATTTACTTCAGCTTACATGCCAAGAGACATAGTTTACAATATAAACTTAATCATAAACATCTCTTATAATATATTACGTTTATACTTAATATATTAAGTTAATATATCACATTTAGTTTCTTTTTAAGCTTTCGCTACTAAAATCGGTGCTAGAACACCTATTCAATTTTCCACATGAGATTACTTTAGGTGCAGTTTAGGATCGATCGCGTGATCAACTATAATATTAACTGCCGTTGATAGAATTTTCACTCTGGCGTACCTGCATTACAGCCAGGACTATGATCTAGAAAGGAGCAAGGGTCAAGTTAGTTAATCGACGGCGTCGATGAAATTGGCTCTCAGTTTACCACGGATAGCTCTAATCGAGTCGTCCGCCACGACCTGCCTTTAAAGCGCGGAAGCTGCTGCATCAGATTCTGCCTCGTCCGTAAATTAGAGTCGGGGAGATCGAAACCGGTATAATTTCCGACATAATTTCGGTGAGTTCAAATGTCGATGCGCCACCGTCTTCGGCTCGCGGAAAGACGCGGGTACACCGTCATCGAAAATTGAATTCACCTATTAATTAGACCGGTCTAGTTAGGCCGGTTTCGATAGCTCTGATTAGGGGCCTCTCGTCTCTCTCGTCTTGGACTTGCGGCGAATTCGACACGTACGTGACGAAAGATGCGCTACGCGTCTAGGCTCGGCGCGAAGCCGTCAGATCTCGCCATCCAGGGCCTGCAATTCCGGCGTATCGTCCCTCAGACGTAAGTGGATAATAGGTGTACAATGTAAGAACCGCACCGGTCTTGTTGTAAGTAGGTGTGCCTGCGCGGTGTGACATATCGTTACGATTCCGTCCCGCTTCTTCCATTGAAACGGGACGGCGCTCGAAATGACCCGTAATCGTCGTCCTACATTTAGATCTCGTCACGTCACGTCGTTTTTGAAGCGGTGCGCGCACGGGTCTACCGCGTGCAAAAAGAAGAATACCCGTCGTCGTCGAGATCGTTAATAAAGAACGAAGCGTTCTCTGCCCGTCGCGGCTGTATCACTTCCGGTATCACTTACGCCACAGTCCTCTTGATTAATTTATCCGCAAAGAGAGAGAAAGAGATAAATTGGAAATACTTTGCTCAAAAGTCTTAAATAATAAGTGATAATAGTATAATCGCGTCTATCGCTTCCTTCAGAATCGTATTGTGCAATATTTTTTCATCACAATATTTTCTTTCGTTACGAAAACTCGATTGGTGAAAACCTATCTAATACTCTTCGTTACTGCAGTCCTCGTTACTGTCGTATTTACGATGACACGTACGTATATTTTCTTTAAAAAAAAAAAAAAAACTACTGACACGCCGTATACGGGGCGCATTATCGCATCCGCGATGCTTCCGCGGCGCGGTATATTAGTTTTCCGTTGCGAAACGAACGGGAATGTACACAGGTGCGTCGCGTATATCTTTCAGCATTGTCGCGACCGCCCTTTCCTGGCCCCTCCGTGCCGCCCTCCACATGGCCTGACACCATTTCTGCGCTCATCGCACCATAAAGTACGAATTTACGCGACAAACGCATAAAAATTCCTCGATCCCCGACGCTTACGTAATGCACTATCACCGTGGCAAAAGTCGGCTTTTATGTTGCACGCTATTTCACGCGACGCTTTATCACGGTAACGCGGTCCGGATTCTTTCCGGTATTGGTCGCTCGCGCGGCTCGCTTGCGTGCTCGTCGCCGCCCGTGTAAACGCAATAAAAAAAAAAAAAAACCGCGAATGGAATCGGCGACGTATATATATATAATTAACGTCTCCCCCTGTGATATTTCGCATAATACCGGGACTTGTTACCGTCGCTAATCGGTACGTCACGTTGTGACGAAGCTCTAGAATTCGAGCGCTCTATAAACAATGACGATGAATAATTTAATGGTTGCCGCCGCTGCCGGACTTGTATGTAAACGCGCGTCATGCAAATGCAGTCAGGCTCTGGCACTACGTCCACGCGCGCGGCACGGCTGACACGTGACGTGCCTTTGTGTAATTTTCCGTCAAATAAATTTTCATAATGCGCTAAGCAGTTTCCGTAGGTGCCGCGCACAATGCGAGGCGCGAAATCATTAAGCGCTCTAAAAGAATCGTCAACGGTAACAATGACCGCGTGCGCTGATCCATTTCGTGAGGAAATTTGAGAGAGCGTTCCCGCAAGAGCTTATTTATATCCTCTTCCACCCCGCGCGCGATGCCGGAGATTAAATTATACTACTCGCTCGGCGAAATATTTAATAAAACGCTTGTTATTGCTGTTTTTCCATTAAACTGTCATAACTCGTAACATTTTTCCTCCCCGGAGCTATCTCAATTTTTCTTACGCATTCCGCACTTGTAGATGTCTTTCGTTCGTGGCCCCGGCTACATTTGCAATATAAAAGCTTGACGTCGCGTCGTTGCATTTTTGCAGTTTCGAGGACGACGTTTCCACGTGCACCAGTTATGACGATCCGGATGCGGACGATCCCGGTGATTATCGGCAGCCCAGGAGGCCGCACTGGGCGAATAAGATGGAATTCGTGCTCGCCTGTATTGGCTATTCCGTCGGTCTCGGTAACGTCTGGAGATTTCCCTACTTATGCTACAAAAGTGGCGGCGGTGAGTCTCGCGATAAATACATCAGTCTATTACGTAAATTACGTGTAATCGTGACGTGAATCTGGTATCCAGTTCCACGAATTGTTGAAGAAGTTTTACGAGATATGAGATACGAGATACGAGAGAGAGAGAGAGAGGGGGGGGAGGAGGAGGAAAAGAGGGAGAGGAAAGAAAAGAAAAATGAGAGTTCGCGCAGATGTTTCCTGTAGATATAAGGTCAAAATACATAAAGCGGATGTCAAATGAGCGAGCACACACACGGTCGTGCTATGTTCACCGCGATTAGCATAACCGTGATAAGAGCACGCGATTATTTTGCGCGTCGCGAAGTACGTCAGTGTCGAAATAGCTGACGGAGCAGGCCGGAGAGTCCGCGGTATTGTCCTCCAATTTTTACGGAGCACGGAGCAGCTTGAGCGCCGTGAAACATCTCCTCGTTCCCCTTTAAAAAAAAAAGAGAACTTCAAGTATACCTCTCTTCCTATTCTTCCAACGTTTCGTCGCGGGAACGACGTGACATCGAAACGTGACGAATCGTAATGACACTTAAATTGTTGCACGTATTGAACCAGCCAATCTCGCCATGAGACGCGAGAAGAGTATTATTATCGAATAAAAATCGCGCGCATGCCTCCTCCCCGTATACGAGGGAAAAATTACGCTGTACCCCGTCTTGCGGAAGGAGCGAATTGCGGCGGATCCTATATACGCGGATATCGCGGACGTCTTGCGTAAGCTGAGCTTTAGATTCAGGGCAACGGCGAGCTCTCTCGCAATCCCAGGGCAACGTAACCGCATATCGTGTTGCCGGTAATTTTCAAAGTCTGGATGCATCCGGCGCCCGGATGCGTGGTGCAATTCGCTCGCGGAACTTGATACATGACCTTGCCGGAACACGATGGCTTACGCCGCCGCCGTCGCCGCCGCGCCAGGCGCGGTAAATGATTTCAATGACACCGATGTGGAAATAATCGGCCGAGTGTCATCTCGCCGCTCCGCGCGCTCTGCCCGCGATTTAAATTGAAGAGCCGGAAAACCGGCTCGGATAACGCGATCCGATTTACACGATTGAAATGATTTATCGTCTTCGCTCGGACGATGCTCGATCTAAATTCGCGCGATGGAGATTAGGCAGATCGTATCAAAATGGATAGAAGATCTCTCTCTTATTGTCAGCTTTATTAAGCATACGCGTCGATCGCGTGCCGCACACGTGATCTTCGTCGCGCGCACTGATATCTAGACATAAATTTTAACGTTTATGCAAACCGTCTCATAATTTTTGACTCTGTATTTCCAAGGAGCATGCATATTCAAAAAAATAAACCATAAGATTTATACGATGTTCATAACCGAAGGTTGGCAGCAGTCGGTCGTAAAAATACGTCTTAATGAAACGTTTGTAAGACATTTCATGTTTCAATTTAGGTATGGAGCTTTATTCTGTGTTTTGAATGTGGTAGTAATATAAATAGAAATATAGAATAGTTAGAGATATACGCGCGCGGTAAAAGAAGTGGCACAAAGGCTATTTTTAAATTAGCTAATTTAATTTATTATCATTTATTAAATAAATTAATTTTTTAATTACATTTTTTAATTAATTTATTAATTAACTAAAAGATTACTAATACGTGTAGCATCTCTATAAAAGTCATTTTCATCTGTAGAATATTACAGAATACCTTTATTTAATTGTAACTTTTGTGTAATATATTTCCATGCATATAATGAGCTGGAAACTACTCTGTAATTTCAATAGCCCATGCATGGGCAAGTTAATTCGTTATACAAATAGCACGTAGTACTGCTGTAAAAATACAGAGCGTGCATAATTTTGCGAAATCACATATTAAACGGAAGACCGGAAAATCAGGCCGGGGGGGAAATAATGCGGCTCTATACTTGCGCACGCGAGATGCACGCTCTGATATTCATTGTTGCCGCGGCACTAAATTGCATTTTCGTGATAAAGACGATACTGCAAACGAATAACTGTAACAGCATTAATAATGTGAGTGCCGCGTCATTACCCGCCTTGTAATGCGTCGCGATTGGATTTTCGCCAGAAATTAAATCGCTCGTAATCACTATTGATACGTCACATCGAATCGGCCCCTGGCCGTTATCTCCGCATCCTCGTTTAATATCTCGCGATAATTTATTTCGAGTGTGTGATCCGCGTATATTATTTCGGTATCGCCTGCATCAGACTAAATGAAAACTGTCATCCGCGCCCGTTACTCCGACTGGCGCGGATTGAAGGCGACGGAGAAAAAAAAACAGATCGGATAACGCTGTGTGATTTACGCTCGTGACGCCGCGTTGTGTAGCGTTTCGCCGCCGCGCGCCGGCTGGGATTAATTTACATCTTTTCGCGAGGTGTAAAAGAAATTACTGTGCACGCGCGACCGTCGTGCGCTTACGCAAACGGACCAAACACTGTCCCAAATGTTCGAGAATCTGTCTAATGAAAGGCCCATTTTTACCAACGTAGATTAAAAAACGAAAACTGCAATCTTGATTTAAGTTACCCTTTATCTTTCTCCAATTCATAAAATTAAAAAAAATAGATAAAAAGTAAGTTAAACCGAGATTAAAGTTCATCTCATGTTAATAGAAATGGACAAGAATGAGATCGAAGCCGTAATAATAGTCGCCGCAAGCGCGACGAGTATGTTTCGTGCGCTCGGCGAGTCATATCAGCGAGTTTGACAATTGAAGGAAACCTGCCAACAGCTGACTAATCGTCACCTATCCCGTCCTCGCGGCGGCTAAATGCACGACGTCAAATTAAGTCGTAATCCGTAGCGGCGCTACGGATCATCGTTTATTGCGAATAAAGAGTTACATCCAGTGACCTTGCCGCTACCCACAGTATGATTAACGTCGAGGCACTTATTACGTACACGCGCGCGCGAACCTCGATTTAACGAAACCCTGGGCGAAACCGATATTTCCTGCAACTAGATTAATCTTTTTTTTCTAATTTTCAAGATAAAGAGATTCTCTACAATTATATTACGTTCGGGGACTTTATTTATATCGTATTTATATCGTTCCAGGTGTGTTCCTCGTGCCTTACTTTTTAATACTCGTAGTATGTGGCGTACCGTTGCTGTACATGGAGCTCAGCATCGGACAGTTCACTCGTCGCGGCCCAATCGGTGCCCTGGGTCAAATGTGTCCGTTATTGAAAGGTAAATGGATAAATCGCGATGTGACAGATTGCCGATTAAATCCGATAGGCCTCCGACGACTGTTTGTTAAAAGCTTCACTCGCGCGCTTATTTTTTATAGCGTCATAAAGTACACTGACTGATAAAACACACGCGCTTAACTTGAAAAGAATAACTGAGAGAATGTAATAGGATTAAATTGATCGTTTTCTTTATTCTACTTTTTTTGTGGATATTTGAATGCTTTAAATCTATAATTTTAACTCGACGTTTTCTGAGTCTTAAATTGCGTCGTCTTATTGTCTACAGTATATATTTCTGTTTTTTGTAGGAGCAGGTTTATCATCAGTCGTAATATCGTTTTTACTGTCTACCTACCATAATGTGATAATAGCCTATGCAATTTACTATTTCTTCGCGGCATTCCGACCGGAGCAACCATGGTCACGTTGTGACAACTCGTGGAACTCACAGCGCTGTTGGCTGCCCAGTTATGGAACTATCGATAATCGAACTCGACCGAATCTGACGAGAACACCTTCCGAGGAGTTCTTCGAGTAAATTTTTTAATATTTAAACCAATTGTTGTTGCGAAATTATATATTAAACTACACATGTCATCTTTCTAATAAAATTAGAAATATCCGATTATTATTATATCGCGTGTAAAATAGTGTGTAAAACGATCGCGTGTCACAGTTTTAGAGTGTTTGAAGAAAGAATAATTGTCTTTCTATTTAGCAACAAGGTCCTGCAAATGAGTAGCGGCATTGAAGAACCGGGAATTTTAAGATGGGAACTCGTGGCATGCTTGATAACTGCATGGATTTTAGTATATTTTTCTATCTGGAAGTCCATCAAGTCATCGGCGCAAGTGAGATACCTGACGGCAACGCTACCTTTCCTCCTAATCGTGGTCTTCCTCACGCGATCCCTCACTCTGGAGGGCGCCGCGAAAGGTCTGCAATTCTTTTTTCATCCACGCTGGGAATTGCTTGGCGATGCAAAGGTAATCGACTTTGTGATTAACAAAAAAGAGTAATATGACAAGTAATGGAATAATAGAATAAACAAATAATAATAGAAATTATTTATATATATATATATATATATATATATATATATATACAGGATGGGATATTTAAAACGAAACACTGTAATATGTTGAAAACTGAACCTAGTAGGCAAAAATGTTTTAGACAAAAGTTGTATGATTTCAAGCATATTATGCATGAAAGTATTAAAGTACAATTATCAAGAAATCAATAGCTTACGAGATATTTCATATTTTATGTCGAAATGACGTTAATATAAAATATAAAATATTTCGTTAAGTATTGATTTTTCGATAACTTTACCTTAATAATCATAATTAATTATATAGGTCTGGATTAACGCTGCGGCGCAAGTCTTCAATTCTGTGGGGATCGCCTTCGGCTCGATGATATGTTTTGCGAGTTACAATCGATTCCACAACACGGTCCTCGTAGACACAGTCGCCGTTTCGCTCATAAACGCTTTCAGTAGTCTACTGGTTGGAATATTCTCGTTCGCCACGATCGGCAATATAGCGCTGGAGCAAAACATGTCTGTCGAAGATGTCCTAACCGATGGTACGTATAGAATTAGAAATGAAGTTTACGTCACGCTAAATATGATAAATTATGTAAGTATCAATATAAGTATGTCACACGTGCAGCGTTATAGAGAAAAACGGTGTATAATAAGACTGGTAATAGAATCTACGATGTAGAGACCGTTGCATCTTTTTTTTTATTTTTTTCTCACTGCTCTTTACGTCGTCGTCAGATTAACTCCCCCTGACATTTTATAGATAAATCATAATTTCCGTTCAAGGACCTGGTCTAGTCTTCGTCATCTATCCGCAAGCGCTAGCCAAGATGCCAGCTTCTCAACTCTGGGCTGTGCTATTTTTCTTTATGCTGGTCTGCCTTTCGTTGAACAGCCAAGTAAGCTTACACGACAGATAAAAGTCTTATTTCCTATCGCGCTATACTCTGTTTATACGCGAGATTACAGATTAATCTGTAAACAAACGCATTTACGGCGAATTACATCGTCGCGTGAATTATCTACCCAGACGGCACGTATGTCGCAAAAATCGGAACACAAAGACGTCTCATGCCCTGATTTTGAGCGTGCGTGCTGTCTAGAGAGATACAAGCAGCGTTAGTCATGGAACGCGAAAAACTAAATACCAGAGTCACGAATCATTTCTCAATCGCTTAATGGATGCAATATTTCGTATTTTGACAAGCTTTCTATTTCAGAGATCGTAATAGGGCTTTTGCAATGTTTTAACGATATTATGTAAATTCTCCGGAATTTCAGTTTGCCGTTGTTGAAGTGGTCGTTACGTCGATACAAGACGGTTTCCCGAATTGGGTGAAGCGTCACCTTCTCTGCCACGAAGTGCTGGTCCTGCTCATATGCGTCGTTTCGTTCTTATTTGGACTGCCGAATATTACGCAGGTAGAACGACACACTCGAGTCCGACTGTTTACTCCGCGTAATATAATAAAAACTCTTATTCTTTACTAAATGATTTCCCAACTGCCCTCAGGGCGGTATTTATTTCTTCCAACTGATAGATCATTACGCCGCGTCGATGTCTATCATGTTCTTGGCGTTCTTCGAAGTAATTGCCATCTCGTGGCTCTACGGCGTGCGCCGGCTGTGCAATAACGTCAAGGAGATGACCGGACGCTTGCCTTCGTTGTACTTCCGATTCTGCTGGTTCCTCGCCGCGCCTCTTCTCATAATGGTACGCAACGATGTCAACGTGAATTTTAGGATGTCAAAATTTTTATATTGTATCGAAAATCTACATTTATATATATATACATATATCCGAATAAAACGTAACGACTGAAAAATGTTGGTTGCTATCAAGCGATGTTTGAAACCACAAAACATTCTGAAAAAAAAAAAAAAAAAAAAATTGTTTGGAATTACAGACAATTATTCGCAACTATTGTTCTCAGAAAAACACGATATATCTTGTTTTTATCCTATGAAGATAACAATTGCGCGGATGATTGTCCGCTTTGAATCCTAGTCCATATTGCGCTTCTCTTGATGCAAAGCATATACACGCACAAGTTTCAAGCTTCAAGATACACACGGTCATATTATCATAATTGCCTTATCTTCTCAGGCTGTATGGGTGTTCAGCTTGATTGATTATGAGCCGCCGACCTACCACAACGATGACTATACGTATCCATGGTGGGCAGAAGCGATCGGATGGAGCATCGCGTCTCTCTCCCTAATTTGCATTCCCGCTTTTGCCGTTTACGTATTCGTCAGAGCGGATGGTGTCACGTTTGCCGAAGTATGCTAAGTTTTATTGATACGTTGAATTAAAGTCAATTGATTTATTGCGAAGAATTTAACACACTAGAACTATTAAAACAGTCAAAATGACTAGTTTGTAATTTTTTACTAAATTTATAACACTACATTTTTTTAGATTTTTCGTGACTTTTATTACAATATGTATATATAACTAAATTGATCAATTAATTATCCTCCTTCATCTTTTTAAAAATACATTAATTGTCGGTAATTCTAGTATTAATTATTTAATTATAGAAAATATATATATAAATGTTAATATGTTAATATGATCAATTTAGTTATATATACATATTGTAATAAAAGTCACGAAAAATCTAAAAAAATGTAGTGTTATAAATTTAGTAAAAAATTACAAACTAATCATTTTGAATGGTTTAATAGTTCTAGTGTGTTAAATATATATTGCAGTAATCTGCAATAATTTCTCTATTGCAACGTAAGAATTTTTTTTTAATTCATAGAACAATTTTTTTAGAATTAATAGAAAATTTAATTTCAATTTCGTATCATAAATAAAGAAATCGCGCTGATATTTATATTGCTAAGAAAATATTGTTAAAAAAATATTACTAAAGAGGAAAGAGATATTTCTCATTAAATAAAGGAACTTTCATTCCCAGAGACTCAAAAATTCCATCAAACCACACTTCGAGGCATGCAAAGTGTGCGGACAGGAATACTGCATGGAGCCCATGCACAATCTACCAGAGGACATGCTCAAGGAGCCGCAAACCGATGTGAATACACCCATACAACTGAATTCGCACTATCAGATGAAGCCTCAAACGTGATAACATTTATCGACTCGCAGGAATAATCTGTTCACGGTTGCACTCCATAGGTTGCGAAGTCACTTTGAGGAATAATTAATATTTAACAACAAACGTTCGTTCGTGTACTTTTATCGTCGGTTATTACGATAGCTGTCGCGACAGTCAACATTCCGTTATTTATAGCCTTATTATAAGTTAATGGTAATCACTTACGGAAGTCATTAGGATAAGAATATTATCTGTTACCTTCTATAAAATGTTATTACTTCTCAGCGAGAAATGACTCATCGAATTGATGTCAAATGGATGTCAAATCGACATCGATACGATGATTTCGACATTAATTCGATTCGACGTCTAATTGATGATTATTTCTCGCTGGGTTCTTGTAAACTCTTTACGCCATTGTCATGTGATAGACTATATAGACAAGCACTGATTCGACATAGGAGTATATTTCTGTATATATCGCAATCGATACGCAATATAATATGTATAAAACACACACACACACACACACACACACACACACGCGCGCACGCACACACACACACACACACACACACACACACACACACACACACACACACACACACTACACAC